CATGTTTGGTTATCATTTTTCCTATGTTTATGATTCTTAGTTCATAATTCTTATGCTTATTTAATACTTTGATCATGAGCTTGGTACTTCATGAGTAATTGTTGGTTTATTTCTTTGATTTAGCACCGAATCGTTAAATTTTCTTAGAACAAAGGCTTTATGATGGTAGAAATCATCTCTAGCTTATGGATCATGACTCCTTTATGGATGTGTAAGCATTAACATCCTCTTGGAATTGGGAATTCCTTCATTCTTAAGGCTAATCAATTTTCTTGAATTGAATTGCTTCAACCGAATCATTGATCTTCATTAAGAAGGTGTGTTGTGAGTTTCCCTAACCTCTATACTAACTTTGAGGAAATTTGGCATTTCATGCTTCATGAATGCTATAACAAATTTGGGTTGAATAATAAGCTTACATATTGAATCCTAAAGATATATAAATAATTATTCATTGTGTTGACTTGCCATAGTTAACCATTTATTTATGATAATTTGAACATCTCACCATCTTGCTTAATTGCAAACATTTTAATTCTTCAAGTCTTTAACTTTTCAAACGAATCACACCTATTTTTTTTTAGTTTAATTATAGTTAGTTAGTTTTATTTCAATTATTCAATTAGATTGCATTGCTAATTTAATACAACCATTTCTCTGTTGATCGATCCCACTTTTACCATTTTATTATGTTTTATTTGCAAGCAAAAGGGTTTAATTTTCTTGGTGGCTTCACATCCCACTAGGTAACAACCCAGTATTACTAACCATAAAACCAAGGTTATATAATTTTATTCATATTCTTCTTCTTACTATTAAAACCCTCTATTTTAAGTTGCTTCGTAATTTACCTTTCACATGATAGATCTTGGGATGAATTTGACGTAGGCTGTCTGTTGTACAATTTACCATTTTTTTAAAATGAGATATACACATAAGATATGAAAGATTATAAATGATGTGAAAGTATATATATATATATATATATATATATATATATATATATATATATATATATATATATATATATATATATATATATATATATATATAAACATTTTGCATTTAAAAGAAAAGGACAAGCATCGAGGAGTGAGAAAAAGTTTATATCTACTTGTAGTCTTTTTAAAATAACATAGAGATCTTAAATTTTTTTAAAACATTGTATTGGTGAATTATTCAATAAAATAAATAAAATGCTTAAGTTCAAAAACACAAATAATATGGTATAGTCTCCGATGAGTTTTCTAGTGTTATTATATTATCTAAAAGATAAAATAACATAATTGTACTTACATTTTTAGTAAAATGAAAACAAAGAGAAAGTTGTTTGATGGTTTTGTCAAATCATAAGGTGGTATAGTATATAACATATTAATATTTTTAGGTAATTTAAGACGTAAAACTATTTATTTATATATTAACTAGCCTATTAAATTTTCTCCAACTGAACTCCCTATATATACATGTGATTGTGCTATCACTTATCATAAGTCATCGATATAAAATTAGAAGAAAAAAACCCAGCTTACATGATGACAATTAAGCTTTTTGTCTATATATTTTTCATCCTTTTGATTTGCAAAATCGACATTGTACGTGGTAGAAAGCTTGTTGGAAAGGCAAAGCTACCCCTTGCATATGGTGAGGGTACAATTAAGATTGGTTGTCCAACAGGAGACATGAGATGTGGAGGATTACATGAGTATAATAAAAAAGAACCGCTCAAGGAAAATATTGGAGGAATGTTCGGGGATGGTATTGGAATAAGATATGTGGGTGATAATAGAGAAAGTACTAAGAATATACAAGGAGGAGGATGTGTGAATGGTCATGTTGTTTGTAATGATGTTAGTGGACAAAATAGAAACAATAAGTACAAAATCTATGTCAACAAAAATGGCTACCCAAACATTGAAAACAACGATGTTACCAATCCTAAGTTAACGGATAACAGAAATAACACAAATGACAATGGTAGCCGCAATAATATCGGAAACAGAAGCGGGAGCAATAATGGTCAAATCAATGGAAACATTTTCCGAAATGGCAATGCAACCGACAACGGTGATGGCGGTGTCAATAATAATAGCGTTGGAATTGGAGATGAAAGTGGAAAGGGTAACAACGCCAACTATAGAGAAAGATCTCATCCAGCTCCTGGTTCAAAGTGATACTCTTCAATTGCAAGTGCAACTTTAAAATAAATGGAAGCAAACGTCTTACTAAATTTCCCTATATATATTTCTAAATAAACATCAAGTAAATATGGATTGCTTGACTTGATACTTAAGATGCATGTGTAACACCCCCTCGCATTGGCCTATTTTCCTATTTGAAATAGTCTTTAACTTATCAAGGTAATTAACTTTTCGGTATGTTCACATCTGGGTAACTATCTTTTTTTTTTTGTATATATGTAGGTAACAAACTTTTTGGAAATGTTCACATATGACCATTATGACCTGCTATAGCAGGTTAAATCCTAGATGTGAACGATTTCAACAAGTTTGTTACCTAGATGTGTACAAAAAAAAAAATAATTACCCAAATATGAACAAAACGAAAAGTAAAAATTAAATTACATGAATGGTCCCTGTGGTTTGGGGGAATTTGTAGTTTTGGTCGCTAACTTATTTTTTTAACTTAAATGGTCCCTATTGTTTATTTTTATTGCGCGTTTGGTCCCCGTCTTACCTAAAAATACTATTGTGCCCTTATTAGTTTATTTTTTTAATTAATTTTCTTATCTATGTATTTATTTTTTATATATTTATAAAAATTAATAGATCACACATATTTGTATCTCCTCGGATGATCCCTACTATTTATTTTTTAATTAATTTAATTTTTTTAACTCGGATGGTCCCTACTATTTAATTTTGTTACGAACTTGGTCTCTGTCTTACCTAAAAAGACTATTGTCCCTTATTAATTTTTTTAATTAGTTTTCTTGTTTATGTACTTATGCTTTATATGTTTAAGAAAAATTAGTAGACCTCACATATCTGTATCTCCTCACCATCCCATCTTTCATCATTCTCAACTTCTATTTATTTTTCATCTTTAGTGATATCGACGTCTTCATCATCACTTCTTTTTTCGGTCCTTCAACTCCGTCGAATCAACACCACAACCCACTAAAGATGAAGAGACAGTAGGTTATGGTGTTGGTTCGTCAGAGTTGAAGTACCAAAAAAAAAGACGGTGAAGACGTCGATGTTACTAAAGATGGAAAAGAAATAGAAGATTGAGAGATCAGAGATGAGATGGTGAATGGTAAGACTCAAATTAAATTTCTCAAATGTGGTTTCAGGTTTACGGTGATGAGATACATATATGTGGGGTATATTAATTTTTTTTATAAAAAATAAATACATAAATAAGAAAATTAATTAAAAAAATTAATAAGGGAAAAATACTATTTTTAGATAACACAGAGATCAAACGCGTAACAAAAATAACAGTAAGGATCATCCGAGTTAAAAAAAATTAATTAAAAATAAACAGTAGAGATCATCCGAAGATACAAATATATGTGGTCTATTAATTTTTTTAAATATGTAAAAAATAAATACATAGATAATAAAATTAATTTAAAAAATAAATTAATAAGGGCACAATAGTATTTTTAGGTAAGACGGGGACCAAATGCGCAACAAAAATAAACAGTAGGGACCATTTAAGTTAAAAATATAAATTAGCGACCAAAACCACAAAGTCCCCCAAACCACAGGGACCATTCATGTAATTTAATTTTTAATTTTCGTTTTGTTCATATTTGGGTAACTATTTTTTTTGTACACATCTAGGTAACAAACTTGTTGAAAGCGTTCACATCTAGGATTTAACCTGCTATAGCAGGTCATAATGGTCATATGTGAACACTTCCAAAAAGTTTGTTCCCTAGATATATACAAAAAAAAGATAATTACCCAGATGTGAACATAGCGAAAAGTTAATTACCTTGATAAGTCATATTCCCTTAATTAAATATTTAAAATATTTTCATAGTTTTAATTTGCGAAAAAGAGTCCTAAAGTTTATAGCAATAAATTGATTACTTAATTTCAAAGTTTTCATGAAATGATTTAAACATCATGTGAGAGTGTAAAAATATAATCAAAGTAAAAAGTTCAAGAAGTCATTACAAACCAAGAGTCTTCTAAAATATCCAAAGTTATAAATCTTCTAAGCTTGTGATATCAACTAACCAACACAAATTTATCAATCTATGGGTTAGGCTAAGGGGAGCCTAGTGAATACAATCCTAGGGTTAGACATTATATCGATGTTGTATGAATGAACAATAATTTAATACACAAATGTATAAACCCATAACTTCTCAAAACAATAAAATCATCAATAGTTAAATTGTGGTAGAATATTGTAATGTCTCAAAATTTCATCCAAATTTAAACTATTTGAAGTATGAATTAAACAGCTAAAAATCACCTTTTTAAAAGAAACATAAATATTCATTTGATTCAAACATCATAAAACAAAAAAGATAGAGCTTAGAAGAAGTCTCTAAAGAAATCATAGATGCGAGTACAATCATATTACACCCTTCCCTTTTCTCACCAAAACAATTTGAGAATAATTTAAATATAACGAGTAAGCATAAAGCTTAGTGAGTTCTGCAACATACAATATATTCCACTACACTTACAAATCATAAAACAATAGGCTTAAGAATCCATTATAACTCCACCATTCTACCGGGAATGTAGGCTCCTAACCATCATCCTATTGGGCCTATAGGCTTTTGCCATCATCCCATCGTGACATCCCCTTTTATTGGGTGTAACATTCCGACTCCCAGGTATTAATTTGAAGTTTTAAATTCACATTTTTAGAACCCACTCAACGAGTTGGTTGCCCCAAAATCGTCGTGCAGAGTTTGATCAAGCCGCGTGATTTATGGAACCTACTCGGCGAGTTGTAGGACCCAACTCGATGAGTTGTGGTTGTTTATGAAAAACGTAATCTTTAGGGTTTGCACCCTATTTAAAGGACCTTAAGCCCCTTTTCTAGCCTCCTTACTACCCTTTCACGTTCAGAGAGAAACCCTAATCGAGCTAACCCCTATTTTGTGTGTGTGTGTGAGAGGCTAAAAGTGTGTGTTTGATGTGTTTCTTGAAGAGACTTGAAGAGTTAGAAGCTTGGAACGAGAAGGGGATTGTAGATCCAACATCTACATCGTTTTGGCATCCTTTTGGAGGTAAAAAACTCACTACCTTGATCATTTTCCTGTTAGATCTCTTCATTCAAGAGTTTAGGGTCATTTCTAGCTTATCCTAGAAGCATTTATGGTTTTGAGCATGATTTGAAGTTGTAACTTCAGATTTGGACTCCTCTAGGCCCTCATGTACATTAAGTCTCAAGCTTTATGAAGCCTTGGCCCTTCTCCATGCCCTAAACCTCTTCATCAAGCTAGTTTTGAGTGTTTTGGCTTCTTGAAGCCTTGCATGCACGTAAAGTTAGCAACTTTACATGATAACTACACCATATGATGATAGATCTATAGTTTGGAGCCTTGGTTTTGCTTAAAATCATTTGAATGAGAAATGGGTTGAAGGAACTCAACGAGTTGCATAAGCCAACTCGACGAGTTGATTAGGGTTTACCCGCCTTGGGTGAGGTAACTCGGCGAGTCGACTTGAGTTTTTGGTTTTGAAGTTCGGAAGGAACTCGACGAGTTACTCTGGTAACTCAACGAGTTGGACCTAGTTTTCGATTACCGAGTTTTGGAGGAACTCGACGAGTCGGTGGATAAACTCGACAAGTTGGGTCAACATGGACTGTTGACCTTGACCGTTGACTTTGACTTTGACTTTTACCAAGGGTTGACAAAGTTTGAATTCTGAGGGTATTTTGGTAATTTGGGATTTTAATGGAAACAATATTTGATGGTTACAGGCAGTTGAGTTTGGAGCCGAGATTTGGAGATAGATCTTCTTGATTTCAACACTACTTTCCAGGTGAGCCGTCCTTACTATACTAACAGGGTCGAAGGCACCAATACCGGCCCTTTTTGGATTGTTATCCTGGTTATTGCATGATGATATGATTAGTAACCTGTTAGGCCGGTATCCCGGTATATACGATGATGCTATGATTAGTGATCTGTTAGATCGTATTGACTATTTGTACATGCTAGCTAGCTTTTGGTATTTATGTTTTGATTGTGTATGCGGAGTTGGGTTAAGGCGAACTTGCTTTGTGCTGAAGGACAACAACCCAGGGTGTACCAGATATACTGCAGACCCATTAGGGCATATCAGTTAGGCCAAAGGCCCGAAGAACAGTCCAGACAGGCTGAAAGCCCGGGTGGGAGGATCAGACATGCTGAAGGTTTTGAGAGTGGACCAGATAGACTGCAGGCCCGGTAAGGGCAATCCAATCATACTGTAGACTCTATATGCATGTTGTTTATTTGCTATGATATGGTTATGATTTGTATGGCATTGGTATTTTGGGGGACCTATAACATCCGGATTCCCAGGTATCTTATTTAAATTATTTATTTTGAGTTAATGGAGGGACTCGACGAGTAGACGCTCAGACTCGCCAAGTAGGATCGCGAATTCTTATCCAGATTAATGACCGGACTCGACAAGTCAATGTGTGGACTCGGTGAGTCCGCGCTGTAAAGTGAAACCCTAAATCTCAGGGTCTGAGCCCTATTTAAAGCCCTTTATGGCCTTCATTTGCGACACTACACCCTTGAGAAACCCTAGAGAGCAGAGAGATCATTTGTGGTGCAAGAGGAAGGCTAATCCACCATTTCTTGTGTGCTTTAGCAAGAAGAAAGGAGAAAGGACAAGCTAGGAGAGTTGGGGAGATTGGATCTACTTCCATTTGATCAGAGGAAGCTGTTGGAGGTATCAATCCGTGCTTAATCTCTTGATTATGATGTTTAGTTGAATCTAGGGTTTCTATATGCATTATTTTGGCTTGAATTTGGAGTGGATGAGGTCCCAAGGTGAGATGATTCATAGATATGAACCTCAAGAGGTCTAGAGAGTCCCTATAACTATGCTTTATACCATCCCTTTTGAGTTGTAAGCCTAGGTAGCCATGTTAGTGGTTATTTCACCAAAAGAAGCTTTGGGTGCATTGCATGTGAGTTAAGTTTTGACCTTTACGTGGTTATTGGTCGTGGGGAAGT